GAAACACACAGCGTCTCCCTGACATGCTGCTTCAACACTAACTCCGGTTACTGAAACCACGCCTTCTTTCTTTGCGTGCACATTTGGGCGGCATTATGCAAATATTTCCACATAGTGAGGTAGATATGTGGGGGCGTGTTAGAACGAGCCGTTTTAGGGGGGCGTGTCAGAGTCTTAACTTTGATAAAGAATATCTCTTTGGTTTTGAGACTTTAGTCTTTGCAACTTCAGGAATCTCATCTATGCACAATCAGCTTGTAACACTCCAAAGAGAAAGGAAAACTTGAAATCGCATCATATGACCCCTTTAAGTTATTTTGCTTATCTAGTAAAAGTATCTTGATTTAAGAATTTTTTTATATTTTGACTAGAAACAAGGCAAAAATACTAAGTAAGATAAGCCATTTTTTTGCAGTGCAGGTTGTAGGTTTGGTCTGAAAGTTATGAAGGCGAGACACTACAGGCAAAAACATGCATCTTTTTTCATGCATCAGTCAATTTTGAGTTTTTGGGCTTTTTGGCTTTTCATAAAATAGTTTTTTCAGACTAGTTGAAAGAAAACATCCAAAATACAATTTTAAGTGTTTCTTTTGGAGCACTTTATCTCTTTGCATCTGTAGATTACAATACATACCTTTTAAAGATTGTTTTTTCAAAGTGAGGGTTTTTTTTCTGCACTGTGGCAAAAATGTCCACTTGAGCAGCATTTAAAATACACCAAACTTATGGTTTTATTCCAATCTGTATTCTGAAGGTTTTTACAGAGGGTTTGTTCATATATAATTTGCCTGATTTTATACAACATTTTATTCCAAAACAATTGTGAAAATGTATTTGTTTTCTGTCTGTTGACAGTATTTTCTGATTTATGGAGTGATAAAAAGAGATATCCAAAATCCCCTCTGTAGAAACATTTGACTCTAATATGTCAACAGAATGAAACAAGATTTTTGAATCTGGCTTCATCCAATGTTCAGATTTTTGTTCTAGAAATGTATACAATTTAGCACATATTTAATTAGATAAAGCCTCATTTGTATATTTAAACATAACATTTCAGAAAACTTGTAATACAAAAAAATGTTTGCAATTCCTAATCAATCAACTGGGGAAGTACATCTGGAGCGTCTCATCTGAATTCAGTCTGGTAATACTGAGAATATGGCATTATCGTATCACAAGTTTAATTTCCTTTACATTATCTGTCCTGTCATAGCAAAGTCGGAATTGTCTGAATTTTTGTTTTAGAAATAGCCTTTGTGCACAGCCAGCCTTGTACTCTGCTAGGTTAAAAAAACTGTGGTCCATAAAATGCGTTGCACAAATTCGAACATCTGGGTTGTGCTGTTGTGTTGTAAATAAATCTTAACCAATGATTCCTAATTGCATCTACTTCCGGAAGGCCAAATAAAGTGCTTTTGCTTTCGCACTGAAACACAGCATCTCCCTGACATGGCTGCATCAACACGACTGCTGTTCCTGAAATCACGCCTTCTTTCTTTGCGTGCACATTTGGGTGGCATTATGCTAATATTTCCACATAGTGAGGTAGATATGTGGGGGCGTGTTAGAATGAGCCGTTTTAGGGGGGCGTGGCTGACTCTTAACTTTTATAAAGAATATCTCTTTGGATTTGAGACTTTAGTGTTTGCAACTTTACAGATCTTCTTTATGCACCAAGAGCTTGTAACACTCCAAAGGGAAAGGAAAACTTGAAATCGCGTCATATGACCTCTTTAAATTAAAAATGTTAAATTACTTTTAACAATTATTATTTATTTTATAAATTTATCAGCATGAAATAATGCTTACTGTAATTATTATTATTTTTATTATTTATTTATTTATTTATTTATTGATTGATGTATTTGTTTTTTTAGGTGAAGAATGCATAACATGTCCAGATTTAGGCAATATGAGAATGAATATGAGAATATGTTGTGATTTTAATTTTAACCTTTTTTTTTTTCTTTTGTGTGTTGCAGACACGCCAACTGAATCTTTTGGAACAAATGGAATTTTAACAATGAACATTTACACATTCTCACGGATTCTTTTAAATGATACTTGTTCTGTCTCATAAATGTTTTTTGTTTTTGTTTTTATTCAAAATCCAATATCTTACCATTGGTAAGTACACCATTGTTCATAGAAATAATTTATTGTTTATCGTAAATGTTAAAGCATATATCTTTGTTACTCATAAGTGCTTACAATTTATAAGCTTTCCGCTGAGAGCTTTACAATTTATAATACATTGAAAATGTACAAATGTAGGTCATGAAAATGTTTGTTTAACCTGACGTTGTTTTTTATAGATTAAATTTGACTGAAACTCTAATAAATGAGCTGATTTAGTATGGTTGTCATTATTTAGCTTCGTCTATTTAAAACTTATTATAATTTATATATGGAGCATATTTTTTTTATCCATTGTGAGTGTTCAGATGTAGACCTAGAAAAAAATCAAGCAATATTTATTTGTATAGTGTTTTTCACAATACATACAGTACATGTAACAGATCAAAATGTTGGAACAAACTTTGATTATAGTATGTGTTTAGCTACTAACAGATGTGCCTATGACTTCTGTTTGATCAGCATACTAGACTTTTGTGTCTGCTCGCTCTGAAAATATTTAACATACAGATGATAGCTCATCATTTGTTATAATTATAATTACAGGTTGTGATCACCCGTTTTGTGTTCATTTGTTGGTCTGGTAGTTCTCCTTTCTAAGAGTCTAAATGTATTCCAAACTTGTTTGATATATTCTGAGTTGATAAGGTAAAGAAAAAAAAAAAGGAATCACCTGAGGGGAAAAAAGTCAAGGTTAGCTAGTTCCTTACAGATTCTGTTTTGTGTTTTAATTTCAAATATTCTTTTTAATTAGACCTGTTTCTATCCAATATATTTTCCCCCCAGATCTAATGCATTAACATTGCACACAAAAAGTTTGCAATTAAGGAATATTAACCTTGACTCATTTAAATTAAAGGGGTCATATGATGCTTTTTTAAAGATCATTATCTTAGCATACTGTTTTCATTCCCTGAAAGACCTGGTTCAGTTACCCGTTAATTATTGCTGTGCCAAAGGCAAAGCATTAAAAAAAGCAAGTACAAACCTGCCAAATTTAACAACTGTACCTTCTGAAGAACAGGTATAAGATTTCAGTTTTGTCTATATGGTGTTTTTTGTTTAGTCAGTTTTTAATTTTCCTTTGAATGTTATGGGGTATTTTAAAAAATACGACTAGAGCCATGTTTATTTAACACAGGAATGATCTTATTAAATATTTAGTTAAACTAATTGACAAAGACAACTGCTGAAAAAATATTATGGCAGGCTTTGTTATTTGGGATTTATGCATCTTGTTATAAAATGCATGTTGTGCATATTTTACTAATTCAAAATATAGTTGTGACTGGTAGTGTGTATATCAAATACTTTTCCACACTCTGCAAGAGAGGTTGACTGTTTTAAACGAATTTTGCATATTTACAGTGATATATTAACGCTTTTCATACTTTGGAAAGTGATGGAGCTATGGATGGATGTTGCTATGGATACCAGTCAGATGATTCGAGGTCTGACCAAACTGTAATCTAACTTTATAATTACTAAAACGTCTGAAAGATGCTTAAATGTCCTTTTAAAAGTGGAAGTACGTGTATAAAACCAACTTGATTCGCACGCTCTTGTCGAACCCTCGCCCACTGCGTCGTTTGACACGGCGTCTGCTGAGTTCCGTTTTCCGCATGTGAAAAAAAAACATAAAGATCCACTACCGGATGAGTTTAGTTTTGGTTTTAACTCAACTTGCTGTCAACCCGGAAAGAGGCTGCGCTCGGGGCACAGAGCTCGTCTTGTTTCCGCGCGGAGCTTTCATCTGTTTTGACGGATAAACGAGCGTGGATTGTTTTCGGAGAGCGCGCAGAACAGCACACACGCAGCAGAACGCGGATGAGTCACGAGCCTTTGGGATTTTGGAAGTGAAGTAAGTTGATATTGGGTGTGGCAGTTATGCGCAATACCGACTTCCTCTCATACCCCGTAATACATATTTCCATGGGAGTTCATGAAAACCTGGTCCAGGTGAACCACACCTGAATCCACCTGTCATGGACACTCCGAAAACTCGCTTTTTATTCCATTTATGCTGGATTTACAGGATTCCCACGCTTATTGAAACTTTTATTTGAAACTTTTATAGTCATTGATTTTTCAAGCTGTGCTCAGCTCTACTGTTTTTATCTGCTAGAAATGACTGTGTAAGTGTAGCCTCTATAAAATATTTTTTTAGTTATGATCTAATCACGAGTTACTGGAAAAGTAATGAATTCATTTTTCATAAGGTGTGGGAACCCTGGATTTACTATTGACAGAGTAAAGACACAAATTACCATATGGCCTGTAATGAGTACTGATAGATACTGATTTATTATTATAAGGCTATTTTTGTTGTTGAATTTTGTGTAAATATTGTAAATATTTGCTGTCATTAAATGTGTTTATATATATATATACACACACACACACACACACATACTTGTATTTATGGTTTACAGGGACTCTCCATAGGCGTAATGGTTTGTATACTGTACAAACTGTATTTTCTATTGCCCTACACCAACCCTACCCCTTTACAGGAAACTGCTGGCAATTTTTGAATATCATAAAACACTGTTTTGTGTGTGTTTTAAGCCTTTTGTTTTACAGGGACACAGGAAGTGTCCTCATAAACCATGTTTACGTTGTAGTACCCACATTTGTGTCAATATATACCTGTACACACACACACACATACTTGTATTTATGGTTTACAGGGACTCTCCATAGGCGTAATGGTTTGTATATTGTACAAACTGTATTTTCTATTGCCCTACACCAACCCTACCCCTTTACAGGAAACTGCTGGCAATTTTTGAATATCATAAAACACTGTTTTGTGTGTGTTTTAAGCCTTTTGTTTTACAGGGACACAGGAAGTGTCCTCATAAACCATGTTTACGTTGTAGTACCCACATTTGTGTCAATATATACCTGTACACACACACACACATATATACCTTTAACAATTCATGCATTATCACAGTTTATAAATAAAATATGACAGGAACTCAGAGTTAAACTGTGTCAGAACAAATTCATCTTGATAATGTCAGATGACACTTAAGCAAAACATGGTCAGGTCAAAGTGTACAATTAAATTTGTATAAGTTTTACTGGTGGTTCACTGTTTGAAGAATTTTTGGGTATAATATGCCTCAGTTTACTCTATTTTGCTATCCTCACTTACATAAATGAACTACAGTGTCCTGCACCCACTAGTAAAAAAAAAATCTGGTGTCTGAATAATTTTTGGTTTGACTCTGTGTGTGTGTGTGTGTGTGTTTGTGTACGTATATATGTATCAGACAATTATATATATATATATATATATATATAAATTATAATGAGGTATGTTTCTGAATCAATCTCCTTATTCTTTTCAAGTTTATTTACATAGTTACGATTTTTTTTTTTATATAGATCTGGGACATGCCTTACCTGGACAGACAAAATCGGACCTGTGGATTCCTGGATATTGAGGAAAATGAGAACAGTGATAAGTTTTACCGGCGTTATTTTATCTTGGATACTCATGAGAATTTTCTCCTATGGTATATGGACAATCCACAGGTACTGCTCTTTGTTTGCAAGTGCATTCCAGTAGCTTTAAACAGAAGTTGCAGTATAGCTTTACAGAGGATTTTCTTATTTACATACACTCAAAACCTCAACTTTGCATTCAAAAAATTTGAATCCTGTATTTTTGCATAACTATTTTTACCTGTTTCCTTAAAAAAACAGAACTTACCTCCGGGAACAGTGTCTGTTGGAAGTTTGCGACTCAGTTACATTTCAAAGGTATCTCATTCTACCATAATATAAAAAGAAATGCAATATTTTTTTTTACAGTTACTTGTTTAGTTTAAGAAAATTTGATTGAACTTTGTTTTTTAGGTTAATGAAGCATCAGTAAAGCAGAAACCAAAAGCAGAATTCTGCTTTGGTAAGTACATAAAGTGGGTATGTTGTTGTAGCTATTGTTGTTTTTCACAGTATCAGTAACTTGCTATTATTTATTTATTTATTTATTTGTCTTCCAGTAATAAATGCATTGTCCAGACGGTACTTTCTGCAGGCCAATGATGCTATGGACTCGAAGGAATGGGTCATTGCTCTGAATAATGCCACCAAAATTACGGTATGTGGAGCTTTTTGCATACATACTGTTGTTATTTTTGGGGTTTTCTTGGGGTCATATTTCATCCATATGCTAATAAAAATGATAGACCTGGACTTTATCCAAAAATAAGCATTCTTAGTTAGGAGATGAAAGATGAGATTATACTTTGATTAATGCAAAGTCTGTACTTTTTAGTTTAGTTTGGCCAGTTGTATTTGAATAAACTAATGAAACTTTATGCATATACTTTATATTAATCAGTACATATCTTTTTAAGGTTCCAAAAGCATCACCAGTGGCCCAAAGCTCTGATGCCACAAATGTTTCAAACCCAAGTCAGTCAACATCTCGACAGGCGTATAAAACAGAAATTGTGGGAGGTGTGGTTGTGCACACACCAGTCCAGCAGGTGACAGATTTGTATGTGTTCTTTATTCATCTTTTTCATTTAGGATCAAATGAATATGAATCTGTTGTGCTTTCCTCAGAGCGATAATGAGGACGTCTTCACGAGTGAACTAGGATCACACGTCACTTTAAGGAGATGCCAGAGCGTGTGTCCAAATGTCGTGAGGTCTGGCTACTGTGTCAAGCAAGGAAATGTGGTAAGACCAGTGTCTTTTGAGCGGAGTATAATCAGCTTTAGCAGGTAATATGCTGTGGATGTAGTTGTTAAAGGAATAGTTCACCCAAAAATGAAAAATTGCTAAAAATGTACTCATCCTCAGGCCATCCAAGATGTAGATGAGTTTGTTTCTTCATCAGAACAGATTTGGAGAAATTTAGCGTTACGTCACTTGATCACCAATGGATCCTCTGCAGTGAATGGGTGCCGTCAGAATGAGAGTCCAAACAGCTGACAAAAACATCACAGTAATCCACACAACTCCAGTCCATCAATTAATGATGTGTAAAAAAAAAAAAAAGTTTGTTAGTAATCTGTTCAGATGAAGAAACAAAATCATCTACTTCTTGGATGGCCTGATGGTGAGTACATTTACAGCAAATTTTTATTTCTGGGCAAACT